ACTCGATCTTGTCGACACGTGCCAGGCGCAGCGGGACGATGACCTTGAGCTGCAGGTTGAAGAAGACCTCGTCCAACTGCGCTCGCGCAGCCTCGTCGCCGGTGGCGAACCCGGCCCCGAAGATCCGCACGCCGAGCTCATATCGCTCCGGCACGAGCTTGACGCTGATGTGCAGGGATTCCTCCAACTTCTGTAGCGACCACAGCGTGAGGCCGAGGAATCGGTCACGGTGTTCGGCGTCAGGGCCCACTCCATCTTCAATCCGCTTGGCGAGCTCGAGAGCCTCTGCCCATAAGCCGACCACTGTAAGGTGGGGTGCAGTCCCTCAGGTCAGTCTTGCTGTCGTTCGGCAGGGGTAACGCATGTGTCGTGTTCTCACCTTGGACGACACAGTCAGACAGACGGCGGGTGGCAGTGGCTGGCATTGTGCGTCAACCGCTGGAAAAGCACGTCGAACGGGATGGATGGGCGGGCTCGCAGCTATCAACTCCACGCGACGTCGGCCGTTGGTGCGTCTATCTATAAGGGCCGGTGTATCGCGATTGGAAGCTAGCCCGGAGCTTTATCAATGCACGGATGTTCAGCAGCTGTTCGACGGGTGTTCGAACGGCGGCGGCAATGTAACCGTACGAGGGGTGATCGGGACGCTAGCACGAGTCACCAGTAACCATTCCCCATCGCGAGCACACAGGCGAACGGCGTATTCGCGTGGGCAGCACCTGCAATCATTGCTTTAGCAGCATCGCAATCTGCATCGTGGACGCAGTCTGCAGCAACTGTCGGCAGAGTCGAGACAACCCGTGTGCTGCGAGGAGAGGCGGGACGATGGGCGCGAAGGCGGACCGGCGCAGGGGGTTAAGTCCTGTTCCTTTTCCCTGTTGCAGATGCTGCCTCTGCGTCTGCTGCTGCTGCTGCTGCTGCTGCTGTTTCTGTTTCCGTCTTCGCTGCCGCTGCCGCCCTCTTGTTTCTAGCCACGAAGCGGCAGAGCCGTGCTGAAGAAGCCAGCGAGGGAACCGACCCAACGCCTGGGCACGCCTGGGCACGGCATGGCGTTATGGTAAGACGACGGGTTGGATGGCGCGCTCAGGCTCAGACTGGCGGATCAGGCTCACAGACCGTCAGACCCAAGGCCGAGAGCGCTGCAGCGTGCAGTCGGTGGACAATAGCAAGCCCGAGCGCACGACTCGCGATGGCGCCGCGAGGACAATGCCCTTTCAGCGGGCCTGGCAGGGATCGTAGCCCATCCTGAGCCTGGTCTCACGCCCATCACGACGCATCGCGCACCAGGCATCGGCCACCATGCACTCGGGCCAGCGCATATCCGCCCTGTGCCCTGTGAGCGGGCGCGAGGGATGAGAGGGGGGAGAGAGGGAGGACGCCTATCACAGGCCCGGCCCCTTGCCCCGTGTCGATCGCGGGTCTCCATCCCTCATCCCCTCGAGCCAGGCAAGCCTCAGCGAGCTTGTGCTTGTGACGGGCGGGCAAGAGGCCGACGCACTCCTTATCGAGGCCCACACGTCCTCCGCAGCGTCTCCACGCAGCCGCATGGCCAGCCGGAGCGTTTGGACTAGAGCCACGATTCAGCGCAGGGCAGCGCAGGGCAGTCGGATCTGTGCTTGCTGGCTTGCTGTTCCGACACGCATGCCCCCAAGCGAGCCATAACGGGGCATCAGCGTTGGCCGAGCGTTGCGCCTCACAGAGGCACCGTGGGCAGCGCCTCCGTGCGCACCAACCATCGTGCCAGCCAGATGTGGCGATGCTCGTGTCGCTCGCGTTTGGCGTTTCGTCGTAGCTGAGCCACACACCTCAAACACTCCAGCATCGGGAGCATCAGGGGGCGCGTGCGCCTGGCGCATGCTCCTGGCCGCCTCGCGGAGGGTGATGAGGGCTTCAATGCCGCGAAGATGCAAGCCACGGCGGTCGATTGCATGTGCCTGCGGCGGTGAGCTGGATCATGCTGATCCGCCGTTTCACGAGCCCAGGCGCGCCACGCCGCGCGCCGCGTCCCACGGCAGTGAAAGTCGGGGTAAGGGGGCGATGTGCTGGGATGGTTGGTCTGGTGCGATGCGCGATGCAAATAGCACGAGCATACGTGATGGGCAGATGGCACTGGCGGATTGTTTGAAGCAAGTCTGGCAGCTGCGCTATATGTACATGAAGGAAGACGTTCGACGACGCCGGCGACGTCAGGGCGCGGCGTGGCGCCGCTTACCTCTTCAGGTGCTCAATAGGCCGGCGATCACTGACATCCTGGGTTGATTCTTCTTCTCACTACGGCTGGTACGAAGAGAGCACTCACTGGGAAGCGAGGAACCGCCTGCGCACGTCAGCAGCGTACTCCCTGACCAGCTTCTCGCGCTCGCGCGTCTCACGGGCACGCTGCTCCCACAGCTTCTTGGACGACTCCAGTATCTCCTTGAAGCGCCGCTCGCGCTCGGCGATCTGCTTCTTCTGCAGCTCCGTCAGGGGCGCGACGGGCCCCTTGGCATCGACCTTCCAGTCGTGCGGGGGGATGGTCGCGCGGCGCGGCAGCCGCTCGTTGACGGGGAGGATGTCCAGCTTCGGGGCGCCAGCCAGGGTCTGGTACCAGTACACGGTGGTGGCCCAGTCGTCGGAGAGGTGGTTTGCGTGGCCGTGCTCGAGGGTGACCTTGATGCGCTTGTTGAAGCGGACGGGGTCGGCGATGTGCCAGCGGTAGGAGACCTGGTAGCCCGGCACGTCGCCCTCGTGGATGATGGAGCCGGAGAGGGGGTTCTGGTTCTTCTGCATGCCCCAGCCGTTGCAGAAGTAGTCCTCGCCGCCGGTGCCGTGCAGCGAGGGCGGCCAGGAGTCGTCGTCGATCCAGATCATGTCGTCGCCCTCGCCCCACCAGGTGCCCTGGAAGTGGGCGACGGAGTGATTCGCGCCGATGTACGCGCCCGCGCCCTCCGTCTCCAGCAGGACGTAGTTCTTGGTCGCGTCGCGCCCGTCGAGGTTCGGCACGCTGGTCTCCGCGCTGTTGGTCTGCATCATCGGCGGCGCCCAGCCGGGCGTCGGGTTGACGCGCTTCCAGTGCGCGTGGAAGTACAGCAGCTCGTCGGCGGGGTAGGGCTGCGCCTGCAGCTCGTAGTCGACGTAGAAGTACTGCACGTAGGGGATCTCGCCCTGGTTCTCGAGCTCGATGCGCGCGTGGCTGTTGAACGGCATGGGCAGCCAGCAGTTGAGCGCGGCGGCGCCGCCGAACTTCTTGTCGTCCTCCGGCCGGCAGGAGACGGTGAAGGGCATCGACGTGAAGTTGGTGGTCAGCGAGTGGCCGATGCAGAAGAAGTCGCCCAGCGGCGCGACCACGCTCGGCGTCTCCTGCCCGTCCCAGTACATCCGGATCACGATCTTGCGGTAGTAGTCCGGGTCGTTGTCCTCGTAGCTCAGGTTCGAGGTGCCTGCGGACTCGGCCATCCAGCAGCCCAGCTCCGGGTAGTTGCACAGGCCGGGCCCCAGGATGCGCCGGCACGTCTGCACGAACCACATGTGCGTGATCTTGCCGGGCCCGTCGATGTCGCAGATGTTGACCTTCTCGCCGGGCAGGATCACCCAGTTGTCATTGTTGTAGCCCGTCGTGTCCCACGAGGAGACGCGCGCGGCGCGCGCGGCCTTGCGCTGCGTCAGCGAGGAGAACAGCTCCTTGTCCAGCATCGTGGCGGTGATTTCGCAGGGGCAGTAGCGGACGATGCTCTCAAGGATTGGCCGGAGTCGAACAATTTTGGTCAATCGAGCGGTTGATGAGCAAGATGACCTGGCGTGCAGACCCTGACGAGCAGAGCCTTATGAATGGTAGCAGCTCGCCCGATAGCCCTCCTCAATCCCCCGTCTCTCTCTCTCTCCCGTCCTGCCCTGCCACCCTGCATTCCCACCCTCGTACCCCACGACCATACCTGCCGTTGCCAGGTCAGGCGTGGTGCCGCCTGGCGCAAACCACGGTTGAAAGCCGCAGCTCGAGGAACCGCAGGGGGGCCGAGTTCTGCAAGGGAGACCGACGATTGCTGGTCCGGGAGACATTCGCGGGGGCAATAAGGAGAGGCGGGCGACCTGGGAATGTGAGGAACGGCGAGTGACGGGGCCCCATCACCTCACCCGCGCTGCGATCTGCCTCGATGCGCTGCACGATGCTGCGCATGCGCATGAGAATCCGCGCTGGGGTTTCGTCGACCTGTGGTTCGCGAGGAGGAGTTGCAGCGCCGATCCACCGGGGGAGTGTGAGGAGGAGGTGGGACGACGGTGAGGGGCTGCAGCCCCGATCTCGATCTCCAGCCCGATCCCATCTCGATCTCGATCTTGATCTTGGAGGGTGGAGAGGAAAGGGGGAGCCAGCCATGCACCGGACCCCCTGATCGGCGACCGAGCGGAGCCGGCGGAGGCACGCAGGCCAACGGCGTCCAAGCCGTGCGTCAGACTGAAGGATCTGGTCGAGCATGCACCGCGCCAGTCGCCGTTGCGGTTGGTCAGGGAGGCCCTGCAGTCCCCCTCAACCGGCCCATCAGGTGCACTCGCCGCTGTAACCCCGCATCCCGCCTTGATGGAGGCAGCCCGACATAGCAGGCAGGGCGAGCGCAGCGGGGTGAGATCTCCATAACTGAAGCGCTGAGGCTGGACGCTCAGGCTGACCTCCTTGTCGGCACTCAGCGGGCTGCTTCTGCTTCCTGCTCATGCTTCTGCGCCGCGCGGACGAGCCCTGCGTCCTGCGCAGTCTCACGCATTGGGACCGGTAGTCCTGACGGAAGAACTCGCTGCGCATGGCAGCAAATCGTAGGAGGTCCAGCAGTCACACACCCCATCAAAATCAGTCCAGCGAGACGCCAGCAGTCGGCGCAGCGAGGCGAGGCGAGGCGAGGCGAGGCGAGTGAAGTTGAGTCTCTGGCGAATGCGCACCTTTGATCGATTGCGTTGCGTTCCGGGCGACGGTGGGATTCCTGGATCGCAGCAGCGCGTCCAATTGCGCCATTGAGCAACTTTAGATATCCTCGTCCGAGATGGTCTAGTGGTCATGATTTCCGCTTGTCACTGGTTGAACCACAGTTTGACAGAACAAGCGCGGGAGACCGGGGTTCGATTCCCCGTCTCGGAGTCTTTTTGCCGTCACGACTGGTAGCCGCCTCAGGGGCAGGGGAATGGGAAGGGGAATGGGAATGGCGTCGACCTCCTGGCACAAGACAACGACGTACTCACGGGCTGGCGACAAGTCGCCAGCGTGCATCGCCATCGGCACGGGTCAGTCTTGACCGGCCACATATGGTGGGGAGAGCAGGCATGCCACTAGTGTATGTACGGACGCTTGCACGCACTTTTCCGCAGCTTGGGCAGGCCCGGTGCCTGTCAGGATGCACGCGACAAGTCTGCGACGAGTTCAGGCACCTGGCAAGGCTGCGTTTGACATGCAGGTCCTTAGAGGTCCTTTGCAGACGTGGTGAACTCGCACGCACAGCATGATCATTCCACATGCGCGCAGGCACGCTGCTGTAGGTCCATCAGTCTTCCACCGCCCAGGCACGGCCCTGCTGTCACTCATGCACTAACAACTGCTGCGGAGCTTGCGATGCGAGACGGCTGCTGCAATATAGTGTACTTGGGGCTTGAGGGTCTGAGGGTTGCGGGAGTAGACGACTGTCCGGATCACTACGTTAGTGAGATGTCCCACCTGAACTGCCAAGAGCAGATACAGATCGGCGAGCACCCTGCCAGGCCTGGCCTGATACGACGCGGATGAGAAGGCGGGCGGTTGGGTGCAGTACCTGCCCTGCTGACCGTCAGCAACCCACCTTGGTCGCCGTGGCAGGGCGGCGGAGTTGAGAGGAGAGAGAGAGAGAGAGAGAGACCCTGCCAGCGGGCCCGATGCCCGGGCCCGATGCCCGGTCCCTCCGCAAGGTACGCAAATGTGATGGCGGTTGCGATTGCAGACGCAGGGGCTCGCGCACGCGGAGACACATGCCGATGCAGATGCAGATGTCAAATGCAGGGACAGGACCAAGAGCCGTGTACGCCTGAACAATGAAGGACGAGGAGTAGCTACGAGGGTACCCGACTCGCACGGGGCGTGAGACTAGCACGGCGTGCTTCGCATGACTCGACGGCGAGGGTAGATACAGGACGGGACGGGACGGACGGTGCTGGTCCTGGGAGTGGGATGGCGACCACTCAATTCCACGAGCCTTCTCTCCGCCAAGCACCAGTAGCGCCACGCGGGTCATCAGTTGAACGCCCCTGATTCGCCGAGCGAGGCGCGGCGTCCCTCGCCTGCCTACTCGTGCTGCGATCAGCCGTGCAAGCAGGTATTGTAGCCTTTTCTATCTGCCCGGCTTCTCGACACCACGTCACAGCCGCGCCTCTCCTCCCGCAGCACCGCACCACCGCACCACCGCAGCACCGCAGCACCGCAGCACCGCAGCACCGCAGCACGACGATGCCAATTGTCTGGGGACATGTCACTGGTAGTTAGACCGGACTGGCCGCCGCTGCCCGCTGCCCGCTGCCCGCTGCCCGCTGCCCGCTGCGATGGCTGGCATTGCGCGGGGCGCTGGTGAGGTGTTCTCGGCCGTCTAGTCTCGTGCCTGCGCAGCAGGGTGGCTACAAGGCCTGTGGTTCGTCGTCACCCCGTTCGTTATCGTCTGCCGCTTCGTTGTCGCTGCGAGGGCGGAGAGTGGTGAGCAGCACAGTCGAGCTGATGCCAGTCCTCACTGCCTGTCGGGAGGATGGGGTGTGCCAGCGTGACAGCGTCATGGCGGACTAGTTGAGGAGCAGATCGGAACCCGCTCGCGAGTCACGGACTGGTGCAGCTGCAGATTGAGTGATGTCGTCGCGGTGGCCCTCTTGTTGTTCTTGTTGGGATGGTGATGATGATGATGATGGTGATCGGAGTAGTCGCTGAGAAGCAAGAGCGAGCTGACCAACCAGCATAGAACCAGCTACGCTGATCATCTCACCCCGCCCTGCCTCGCCTGCCTCGTCGTTGCAGCGACTCTGGGAGCTCATCTCGGCTGGACGCAGAGAGGAGGGTACCTACAAGATGTCAGTCGCTCCATCACCATCAAGCACACAGTCTGGGAGCGGGCGGTGTATTGACCTATCATACGAGGCATGGCCGTGCGGCCCGCCCAGGCGCCGCTCCTTGGACGACTCGAGCGCGGGCGGGACGAAGGGCAGCAGGACGGCGGAGAGGATGAGCGAGGAGGCGAGGAAGCGGGTGGTGCGCGACTCGGACGCCGAGCCCGGGCGCGGGTACGGGGGGCGGTGCTCGCTGCGACGCATGGCGCTACCGGCGAGAAATCACTAACATAATCAGTCTCCTCCCGTATCTCTGAATGGGCGAG